TCTATCTATCTCTCTCTCTCTCTCTCTCTCTCTCTCTACCTCGGGGAAGTCAGTCTACATGTATTTAAACCCACAGTTTATTATTGTCTGATTGTTGTAGATTAAATAATCACGGTCATCTATCATCCTGACTGAATTTGCAGGTTTGAGATTCAAACCTAAAAAGGAAGCCAGAGAGGAGCCTTTGAATATCTTAAAAAAAAAATAGTTAGAAATAATAGCTGAGGTTGTATAATTAGCTTGTATAAGCCTCTATAAGACATTAAAAATATATCACGAAAATATCAAAAAACGTCCTGTCTCGTAGAAAGTGGTATAAATGTTCTCCATCTTGATCCGCATCTTCTCTGACCCACACCACATCCCTCTGCCTCCTGCTTACAAACAAACACATACAAGACAACAAGAGGTAATAAGGTGGGACATCAGTCTACATCTATTTGAGGAAATCCTGAACCAATTCTTCCCTGATTGTTATAGGTTAAATAATCATGGTCATCCATCATCCTGACAGAATTAGTGGGGTTGAGATTCCCCAGGAGAGGAAGAGGAGCCTTAAGGAAATGAACATGCCGCCGTGTCCAGGATGGGCCCTCCAAAAGAAATAATAGAGATAGCAGGGAGTGGAAATTGAATGTATGAGATCACATGAGCATATCATTCCATTAAAAGTAGAGATGACTCACACTTCTGGCCTAATTTCACTGTAAATTACAAAAGGAAAAGATAGACTTATGTGTGATTACACTGATATTGCTTGTGGTATATTCAGTCATGATTAAATTAAGCCATGAAACTGTTTATTAGGCTAAAATCCCAATTAAACTGGCTCCAGTCCGCAAGTCTTTGGATTGTAGGTGGAAGTACCAGAACAACATGTAAACTCCACACAGTGAGGCCCAGACAGAACCAGGATTTGAACCGAGAAGCCTCTTGCAACAGTGCTAATAATGAACACTATGAAATGTGCCACAGTAAATACAACGCTGCATTTAAGGCATAATCCTTGTTTGATTTATCATAGCTTTGGTTTGTTCCTTATCGTCATTATGATTGTCATGTTTCAGTTTAGTTTCATATTTCTCCCTGAACCCACGACCACTGCTGAATGCACTGTGTGGATCATCTGTGAGGATGGAGAGAGCATAACAAGGCGTAACAAAAAGAGAGGCTCCTCCAATATTTGCAAAGCCCAATGGCTGTTTTTTATAAAAGTCTGTTGATTTACAAAGTCCTGCAGCCTGTGGAGGACGGTTATGAGAATCAGCACAGTGAGCGAAAGATAGAAAAAGAGACAGAAAGAGAAGACAGGTCATGGTGAGTGTGATAATGAGTGTGCAGAGTTTCTACAGCAACAGGGATTAAAAATGAGGAGCATGAAGAAAACAGAGGCCCAGGAGCAACACAATGTAATGAAGCCTGTGGAAAGTGACACACTGGTGTTATGAGTCCATCAGTGAGAAGAGACATGGGAATAATTTTCATTTCTGCCACAGTGTGTGAGATATCAGAGGTTATGGCGAACAACAGCATCCTGAGACAAGCAGTGTTGAGGCTGTCGCTCCCAACCAGGAGACAAAACAGTCAAATATCAACGGAGGGAGAAGATGTGCAGAAATGTTGGTTCCTTTGCACGTCAGCCTTCAGCACCAAAGAGCAGCTGTAAATGGCTCAGAAGATCTTAGTTGTGTAAATTAAATGTTTTTGCTTTTTGCCAATTTGATAACTTTTAATAAATGTGCTATTTTACAGGAGAATGTTTGCTAAATGAAATGTGTAATGCATCAGTCTGATGAAAGCAGACGTTGGCTTGGTGGTTTCTCTCTGATTGCCAAAGGGAGCTTTTCTTGTACCTCCTGTGAAATACAGTCAGAGTGAAGCCACTCAGATTGAAGTAGACTTGTAGTTTTATATCTTCCAGGCGTGTGTCCGCTTTCTTTCCTGTGTGTCGGCAAGTCAGGTTTAAAAGAGGAATGTAGTGAAAAGGAAATTGTAAATAGTTTTGTTTCAGCTGCTTTAGGAACAAAGTCTTTGTCCTGCTGTTTTTATTCACAGTTAGAAAACATGACAAAATGATAAAAGGTCAAAATTAATTTGACAACAATCAATTGTGACTGTAAAATCTCTTTTGATGTCATCTCTGTAAACTGCTTCAAACAGTGCTGCAGTTCAAAAGTGTTTTTTTTAAATCATAAAGGCATCAAACGTCACTTTCCGGTGTCGCTTCTGTGTATTTCTTCATTTTACTGCACTGACACATCTTCTAAAATACTACAACCTCACAATCTGCTGTTATCTACAACACAACAATGAGATAGCAGCTTATCATGACCATGGACCCCTACCCACACACGCAAATAGCACACGTGCACTCCACTGCGTGTGCCTGAGGGGAAACGCACAGCACACATCACTTTCAAATTACATTTATAAATGTTGAGAGGACAGGAAGTGTCAGATATAGACCTAATATAAAGCATCACGTAATTTAATTACAAAACATTAAAAACTATTTTGTAATCCTGCAACATTTTCAAAATCATATTTACTTCAATATTTAAAAAAAAGAGGATTTTAAAAAAGAGGCACATGAGATGTGGTAATCAATCTTTTGTATGTTGGAAATTAAGATGTGCATCCAAACACTCCAAAATTGAATGTGTTCTTCCCTGACCCATACGACATCCTTCACCAAGTATTCTGGAAATCTGTCAATGGACAGGGCTGAAAAGTTATCTCCTCAGCTCAGGTCAAAGAAAGAAAAAAGTGCAGAATTAAAGGAAAAGATGATGGAGAGAAATTCAGCTGGACAACATTTGAGTATTTCTCATATGACAACTTACACTGCAGACATTAAGCTTGTAAAATGACAGATAAGGATAATGGTGGACTGCTGCTGCTCATTCAGTCCTGTTGAGTCTTTGCTCTGTGTCTCTGTTCCTCTTCTCTGGATGACCTCTCTCATTAATACTGATAGCATCTGACAAATGAGACATCACAGTGTTGGTGGTGGGCGGCTATTTACAGAACACACAGGCACACGCACATGCACACGCACACGCACACGCACACGCACACAGGCACACAGGCACACAGGCACACAAAACTGTTGTCAGCAGCACCTTCTCCTGATCTCGACAATGTGATGTCACATGGGTCTGCCCTAAAAAGAAAGGTGAAGGGGAGAAATCCAAATAAAACCATGAGACTTGTTCTTTATTTGTTGTATCATTTTTTAATAAAAATTACACAACACATTTTATCAACCATGTGATCCAGCTCAGACACAAACTATTTGTGCTAAGCAGGAGTCTTTGTAACTTGTCCAATGTTAAATCTCAGAGATACGTAAGAAAAGAAAAACAAATTCCTTACAGACATGTTACAGGAGACATGAAGGAATTCTCTGGACAAGAGTTCTTGGATCTAACACAGAGAAACAGTCTTCCTCTCTGAGTGTCTGACTGCAGCACAGCAGCAGCATTGTGTGTCCTCCTCAGATTACCTCCCTCCAACACATTCCTGTCTAAGTAGAAAAAGGAAATAAATAAATAAAGCAGAGGTCAAGCTAAAATCTCCCTGTGACAACATCTGCCATTGGTCGGCCTGCTCCGAGTGCCTTTTGTTGTGAATGCTGATCCGGAGAGCCGACGGCCAAAAGAGGAGAGAGATACAGAGGAAGGGGCCACATGCGGTGAGTAGAGATGATTTATAAGGGAATAGATCTGGACTGGGCAGCTCTGGAGTCACATACCTGCAGAATGAGAACAGGGAGACAAGGTGTCATATTTTTCATTTTGTAAAAAGATATTGAACACAACACCAAGGCTGATACATTAAAAACATTAAAACAATTATCTAACAGAATCCACAACTTCAAGCGTCTTTACACATTTCGTAATCTCAAGATGGAATCTTTTTTTTAAGTTGTTTGAGAAATCCAAACATTGTCACGACTGTAACTTACAATATAATTAAATGTGCCATAGAATATCAGATATATGAAATGACGAAGTATTGCAAACCAAACAGTGAGTTAGGTGAAACACTTGTGGTCCATAATTATTCATGATTTCATTGAAAATGGATTCACCTTTAATTAACATCTGTCCTGCATAAAATACACTTAAAGTGGTTCTATTGAACTTAATTTTATGAGTTTGTAAACAAAACTACTCTAATTCACCCCATTAAAAAATACAATTAAAAGAAAGGGGTTTAAAACTCACCTTAAAGTTGAATTTCTGAGTGAAGTCAGTGAAAGAAGTTGGAAATTCTGATCTGCCAGTTTGTGCTTCCTCAGTTGAATGATTCAAACTTAGCTCCTTTTGCAGGTCAGCAGGAGAGTGGAGGAGGACACAGAAACTCCAGAACCATACAAACCAACCGTCTGAGTGGCGTTCACTCTTGTTGGAGTGGCCGCTGCTCACATTCACCATTTATAACCTGACTCGTTCAGTTCAGCGACAAAAAATATGACCACGTTCACAACACTGGCCGACAGATCACTGAAGAAGAAGTGGCCTGTCCAGATGCCAGCAGCCTGGATCAGTGAGGATATGCTCTGAATAAGATATGCAGGCAGGAGATATGAGAAGGACACAGGCTGAGACAGGGTCATTTACATCAGCTGGCCTCATTCATACAACACACACACTTTATCAGCCACAGAGCAGTTATAGAAGACTCCAACACAAGTAACTAGTTATGTGAAGTTGTTGTTACTACAAGGGAGGCAAATAATTAGTCCATTTGTTTCTTTGCGCTCCAAAACATGTAAACAACCCATTCATGCCACAGTTTGAAAGCAGATTTACTGCAGTGATGCATTTTCCCTATTAATACATGATTACATGTTGTAGCTGCATGTTTAATATGTATTCCTATCATCTGCTTAATTCATATGAGGTGTTTCTCAGGCCTCTTCATCACCACAAGTGTTGGTTAAGACTTCAAATTCAGAGCAGGTTTTCTAACGCCACCTGTAGGACACTCTATATTACTGCAAATAAACATAAAGGAGAAAGTCGATTGCAAAGTGCTGTAATCCTAATTTGTTGTTTTGGATTTGGTTATTACAAGACTGAGAGTTTCAAAGGGATAGAAAATAAATTTAAGGAATTATTTGTTTGAACAATTTATGAAAAGAGCCTGTTATTAAAATCAATTGAATCTACACCCTCGTCAGGTGACCTGCACTGTATTTATCTATGCTGTGTGAAAGTTCATGTTTATGACACGTGTAGGGTTAAAATTGCCTTTTCATTTTTTTAAACTTTGTGTAGAATGAACACGCCTACCTTGTGTAAACTAAGGGCCTCCTTATCAGCAGAGTCAGGAGGTGACAGAGAGATAATGTGATGATGTGAACGTGCACTCGGTGACACTATAACCTGCTGTGACCCAGACACTGCTGCTTGAGAAGAGGCCAGCATGGTGCTTTGGTTCTGCACCACACAAAACTCGATCTGTCCCACTTCAATCCATATTTATTTTGTTATACAGTTAATATGCATTTACCTGGCTTTTAGTCTGAGCTTTCTTTTAAGTCCCAATGGGATCCTTGTTTCATTTGATTATTTCCATGAATGTGATTTTATCTGTTCCATTTTTATTCTACTTCTTTCTTTCTTTCTTCTGTTTTTCTTAATAAAGCCCTTTGTTACTTTGTTTTGAAAAGTGCTATAAAAATATATTGTCCTAATGTTCTACTTATAAAGGCTCATTTAATATTGTACATTTAACAACAAACAGAAGACGACGTTAACACAGGGATGTGATATAACTGCAACTCCAACCTCCAAATTATTGTGAAATATTGAAATAATACCTTTTTAATTTAGAAACACAATCACAACCAAAAGTCAAACTACGCACTAGAACTGTGACTTAATTAACTACAGTCAACTGACCATATAACATTATGTGCATATACTTCATCCATTTTTCAGTTGCAATTCTAAATAAGGCATTTAACTGCTGGAATTTGTTTTGTTCATAATCACAAAAAGCTTAAAACATAGTTTGCAATCATTCATTACAATAAGTTTCAAAGAAGAATGTCCTTTAGAAGAATATCATTGTAAACCAGCAGCAAGCAGAAAACTGCATAAAGCTAACGAAATCCAACAGGGGTCAGTATTTCCAACAATTTAATCACTGAAGAATGTTTCACTGTTAAAGAGGCTGTAGTCGGCCTGTGACAGCACAGAAACTGTTGACAGCTCAACCAACATGGACTCTTGAGGGAAATTAAGACAATAACTCAAAATCTGTCATATTCATGTTGATCTTGTCTGAGGAGGAATGTCAGCATGAGTTTGCCACCTGTGTGTTGTTTATATAAAATTCTCTGCCAAGGAGATTCTGTTTTCACCTGCATTTGTTTCCTGTTTTTTCTTTGTCAGCAGAATTCACAAAAGCTACTAATCCAATTTCCACAAAGTTGGTGGTGGGACGAGGCCTGGGTGGAAAACCTTCAACGTATGCGTTTATAAAAGTGATTATCAGACCAAATTGTTGTTTATCTATTTCATATCTCTGATAAGAACTAGACAGTGGTGTGTAGGATTGTTGGGCCTTGGCGCCGGTATTTGCTCTACTGAGTGCCATTAGACTTCTACATGTTGGACCTAGGTGCTTCAGTACACAGCAGAATAAGGAGGCCTCTTGTTATCAAGTGGTCAGCACACATAGTGGTGGAGGTGGTGGAGGACTTCAGGCATAGAGCGGCTGGTAGCCACTCCTCCGGCTGCCAGTTTTACAGGTGATCACACATACGCTCAGCATCCCGAAGAACTGCAACAGGAAACATAAAGGTTATCGGACACAAAGCTCCTCAAACATATTTTCTGAAGCAGCTTTTGTTAGTTAGACCTGGAGTGGAGCATAAAGGGTTACGAGTAAGCTCTGTATTTGAGTAGGCTAGGGGAGGATCAAGGACTGAATACAGTCTCTGAAGTACAAAGTGCTATATCTGCAAGAATAAGGAGGAGATCCCATTCAGATAGGTTTCTGTTTAAAGGGTTTTTTGGTTGTTTTTCCTCACTCTTGTTGAGGGTTAACAATAGAGGATGTCTTATCCTATTAAACCCTAAGACAACATTTCTGACGAGCTCTAACATCCACTTAACTTCCTGAAGTCAGACGATTCATGCATGAAAGTATGTAGAGGGTTCAGCCAACTGTTTCTCAAAAATGACGCACAGCTGCACTGTTGAAAGTATCCGTTGACTCAACAACTTAGGGAACATATTTATCATAATGTTGATGAAATACTGAGTGGGATGTAGAGTAATGCTCTTTCACAACTGCTGAAGTGTGTGTTGTGTCTGCTAACTGCAGCCGTCTTTACCTTGATGATGGCGAAGCCCAGAATGACCAGCATAGCGTATCCCCACACATCCTCTATGAGACTCTTCAGCTTGATCTCACAACCCTAAAATACACACACAAGTGCAGAGAGTATTAAAAATACTTATTGAAATGTCTGCATGAAAATGTCTGAAAGATAGTAAATAAACATGTTACAGTTTATTGCATTAGCAAATGAAACAACATGTTCACTGACAGTATTTACGTCCAAAGAGAGAGGTGTGATTCTGTAGTATTTACCTCGACGTTGAGCAGGTTTGGTTGATCCAGTCTGCCACTGCACTGTGTGGTGCTGTTTTTACAACAGGACAGAGGCACTGTGTTGTTGTGGCTGTTGAACCAGGTCGTGTTGGACCAGCTGGTGTAATTTTTAACCCCACAGCACTGCAGCTGCACAGAGTCAAAGAGAAAACAGAGAGGGCATTAAAAAATGAGGCAACATGAATATATAGTAAAAGTAGAAGTAAAGGAAAGCGCTTTATGAGAAACGAGAAGTATCCACCTTCCTTAACCTGCGTGTACCTATGAGTGAGTTATGATTCAGATGATATTTTCAGGGATTTAGGGAGGCCTTGTATATTTTTCGACTTGCACATTCTCAATCATCCAGCTGCAACTTCTACTTCAGTGAGCATTTTTCTGCATTTCCCACAGTAACTTTTGACAGACCATCGATCATCAATACTGCTCGACCCTTTAAGGGTCTGAATGACTTTGGACTGTGGGAGGAAGCCGGAGTACAGAAAAAAAAAACAGACATGGGGATAATATGCAAACTCTTTTTTTACAGCATGTCGAAAACCTGCTTAATTATTTTAAGGACTATTCGCTTTTGACATATTTGAATTTTTGGAAAAAGAAAATAATTTCTTAAGGATAGGGGTTGTCCATTTATAGACTCTTTAAAAATTAACCCTTAAACTACTCAGCTGCATTTATTGCTAACATCTGGACAGTTAGCCAAAGAAATAATTAAAAAAAAATATATCACATGAAATCTATATGTATGTATCCTGTGTTTTAGCTGTTTGTGTGATAAGATGGCTTTTTTGTTCAAAGGCGAGAAAGAGAGAATGGGGATACAAACGAAAGCTCAAGAAAAGGAAATGAAAGCAACCAAAGCAGAAGAGCTTGACAAAAATAAAAGTACAAACTATTTATATATAGTAGAGCATAATACCAACCTGAGTCTGCAAGTAGTCCACACCTTTGGTCTCAGTGCCCTGACCATCATACTTCGAGAAGGACTCATTCATAGAGCGCTCCAGGTCTCCATTCATCTGGACACACACAAGAAATATTGAAAAACACGATGTGTAAAGAATACAAGTGTGCCAGAGCAGATTTAAAGTATAATGAAGACTAAATTTATTAAGCTCTAATTTATGCTCAGCAGCAAACATTGTGTGATAGAGAAAACGTACTGTATGTGACTCACCTTGCCCTGGTAGATGAAGCTAAACACCAAAGCAGCGACTTCAGCTGCAAACATCATCACGATGACCAGAAAGAACTGGAGAGAATGAAAAAGAGGAAATAAGGTGTCAATAAAAACAGAGTGAAAGCACGAACAAACGCTAAGGACAAATAAATAAGCACCAAAAATCACAGATATACAGATAAAAAAGATTAAATATTGTGAAGTGAAACGATACAGTATATCTTTACAGTTGCACTTTCACCTTCAGACTGTAGAGCTGAGCAAACAGATGTCAAGGAAATGAGAGGACCAATGAAGCGCAAACTAGCTTTCCTATCTCAGACACACTTACAAAGCTGAGGCCGAACTTGGACTCCCGTATCGTGGCGCAGCATCCCAACAGACCGAACAGGAACATCACCACGCTGATGCCGATGATGATGGCTGCTGGGACCAGTGCATACTTGTCCTGAATGAAACTGTCGAAGTTGTTGTAGCTGCGGATCACGTAGGCGCCGATGTAGGCCAATGCCGCTCCTGCAGCCTGCAAATAAATGATAATTTCTAATTATCATTGTTATCATTTTGGTGTATACAGATCAGAATGCTTCTATGAATGTAGAAAATACGTAAAAATGAGAAAACATGTGTCTTCTAGTGGGATTTTATTAAAATATTTTTGACAAGAGGACAATGGTTTTCTCATTTTTCTGTATGTTTTTCATATTTTTAATTCTGGAAATAAACAATTTTGTCTCTAGTTATTGAAGTGTTAAAAAAGTGTCCACAATCCCAAATGAATGGATCTTCAGTGTTTCCAGAAAAACTGACTACTTAGATTTGCATTTAACAAAGCAACCTTCTGCGCACACTGATGGAATTACAGGGATTTGTCACATGATCTGTGCTTTTGTCTCTTTGCTGTAGAGGAAACAGCCATTTTTTTAATCTTTCTCTAATAAATACAGATAAATAAGTGTTTTGTATGTACACTTGATGAAGACAAAACACTGAAAGTTGAATATCTATACTGAAGAATGATGACATTTCAGCTTCTTTTTCTAAGGTACAAAACAGAGGAGATAGCATCATACAGGAGCATCTTAAACACAATCAGATATAGAGTGAGACGCCATGTGTTGACGCACTTTAAGACCGAGCACAAAGGGGTTTGTTGTGATGTAATAATCCAATGTGACCTCATATGAGGCTGTAAAATCACTGATGGTCCATCTCTGTGGATCTTAAATGCAGATTGGCCATCAAGTCACACCATCATCATGACTTCTCTACAAATCATGCTTCAGGGGTGAGCTCATCGGTCGTAAGACTTCACGTGCATGCGGGTCACTTTTTAGGCTGAAAGCTAATCACCTTAAAAATGATGTTTTCATCTTATAGTAAAACGACAGCTTTGTTTATTCTGCTTTCTGTATTTGTTTGAGTAACGCTCAATCAACAAGAGACTTCCATATCAGACACAACTGTTAAGAAATCAATGGCTGTTGTATTTTTATCTTATCATCATTAACACATCTCCTGACTTCATTTTGCCCTTTGAGACTCAGATTCAAACTCCAGTCCTCGAATAGTGTGGGAAAAAGCACAAAACATCTGCTAACTGATGAGAGGTACTGAAATAAAGCCTGAGAATGAGATTAAACTCAAATATCTCTGTCTGTGTAGATCCATAGCCTGGCACTAATGGGATTATGAATATGTGATCAGATAACTTTGCCTTTGCATCAAACACAGAAAGACGTCCCTTTAATATTAGAAAGTAAATCTGAAATCTTCTTCACGTGTGTCTGCATATTAGCATCATTTTCAGCATGATTTCTCCTCTAATGACACGAGTTGAACATTCATTTGCAAGAATGTGTGTTTTGTTAGGCCTCACAATCATTCATCCCTCAGTTGAGCCTCATGACTCACTCCTCTTAATCACTCCACAGTCACGGGATCCCTCTGGAGTACTAAGTCTACCTCCCTCCCCAACAAATCGCTCACCCCCTAATCTTTCTAGAAACTCTGGTCTTGTGCCTAAGAAGCAGCACAAAGAGGCTTATACAACATATAGCGCCCCATGTGCATGCAGTGCCACCTCTTAGGAATGTGAGAAACCTCTGGGGCGATGTGTCTTGATCTCATGGGCATGATTTTAGTGGGTCCCTTCACGACAAATATCCCAGTACTGTATCTCAGATCCGGCTTTTTTGGGGGCAGACATTATTTAAGTTGAGTCGACTGGGAAAGAACACAGCCATGATATGATGTAAGAGCTCATGTGCTTCCACACGACCTTTTAAATATTTGAGTTTCCCCTCAAATCACCCAATTTGAGATGTTGATAACATTTTATAATAGACAGAATCCATGTTTTATCACAACAATATATTCATTGTCTTTTGTAATTTTCAAAAGATTTGAACAAACCTATGTACTGTATGATTGGTGGCAAAACATGATTTTCTACAGACCCAGCAGTGGGTCAGACAGAGTTTAAAAAGATAAACTGATTAAAATGTCTTTCAACATTTTTTTTTTTTTTAACATCTCTGCTATTTCCCAGTTCCAGCTAATCTTGCTCAAGATGAGGGATGTGTCATGATCCAACTCAATGGAAAAATTAAAGACGGATGTTCACCGTTTATTCTAATAATACATAAACTAATTTGCCCCACATTCTCCATTAATGACAACACAACAGAGCTGTGTAGAAAACAACTCTGATGTGGGTCTTTAGTTTTATGTGGTAAATACTGTATGTTAGCATTAATCACATTTAATTGTCGCTGCTTCAAAAATAGAAACCTGCAGTTTATGTAAAAGCTGTTTGGAATATGGCAGGAATAGTGTAATTGCTGAAATAAAGGGAAGGCTTTAGGATAGGGTGAAATACACGGGATGCAATAACCCCTAAAAATTAGAAATCCCTTAATGGAGACTCATTACACAATCAAAGATGAGAAAAGTTCAGTGTGAACTGCAAAGAGGATGAAAACTGATTAAATTGGAGCAAACTGTGGATATACAGATCAAGAAAAATGATAAATCATGTCTGTGGTTTGTTTATGTAAATACAAACAGGCCAATTTTATCTCACAGTAATCTGATTAGACAAACATGAGCCACAGGCAGACAGAGGGCTTCACTGGGTCCCTTCAATATCCATTTACTCTGAGGGAGAGAGAACTTACAACTGCTTTCCAGTGAGAATATGTATCCAATATAAGGTTACAATATACAAAGCAGCAGTTCAATGGATTGATACAAAGCCAGATATAAAGAGTCAGAGTTCAGATTGGCTCGGGACAAATCATTGTCTCCCCTGAAGTCAGTTACATTTAAACTCCCCTTATTGAGAAACCTGTGGCCTTTAACTTTTAATCACATGGTGTTTGAAGAATAAATTGCACATATGTGAACTGAGTAAGAATCAAAATGAGGAAGTGCATAGTAGAAATAGAAGTAGCAGGGCACCAACATGTTTATCAGGCCACAGCTCCGATCTGTGTAATGCATGGGCGCACATTTGGCTTTTAACCAATAACTAATAAAGCTGTAAAAGCACAGAAAAAATATCTGATTTACTCGAGAAGAAAAAGAAAATCTTGGCAGGTGGAGAAAAGACTCAGGGACTCACCCAAAATATCAAGCTGAGGAAGAGGAGCACGGTCTTGGAGGTGAAGATGCCGCAGTCCATGTTGTGTGGCGGAGGTGCGCAGATGGATGAAGGAGATGGAGACGCCGGGGTCCAGTTTTTATGTCTCTGAGCACTGAGCTGCCGCCGCCAGCTCCACAGCTGCTGCTTTAGTCACAAGTTTTCCTCCGCTCGTCTGACTGTGCAGAGACTGTGTGATCACATGGTCACATGCTCTGGGGAGGAGGGCGATGAACAGAGGCAGAGCAAGTCTGACAGCCCCACTGCTGGGAAGCTGCATCACACGCACATGCGCGCACACACACACACACACACACACACACACACACACTTCTTTCCCTAGCGCCTTACCTTAACCTAACCTAACCTTAACCATCCAAACCAAATGCCTAACCCTAAACCTAATTCTAAAGCTTTAACCAAGTCTTAACCCTCAAACAGCTCCTTGAAAAAGTGAGGACTGGTAAGAATGTCCTCACTTTACAAAAAAAACCTCTCTCTGTGGTCTATGCTTAAAACACAGTTGAGGCCGACCGATACGTATACATCGATATATACACACTCACTGGTATCGGGCATTTAAGTTTATGGATATATATCATGACAACTTTCATAGACAGAAGAGATGTACATCTATCTTTACATTTTACCCAAAACATTTCTGAAAGTCTCAAATAGGCTACATGTATTTGTAATCATATCTTCAGAGTCATGGTGTATATATATGGTGTATATATATGAGATTCTAAATTGTGCCACACTGTGCCACACTGTATCTGTACACTTATCATATCACCCATCTTTTATGATTGAATAATGGCTGGAACTGCCTTTCATTAATCTACGGACTCATTCAACAAGGTCCAAAAGGTCACCAGTGAAATGAAAGTCTCTAAACTTCAGCTGCTCCTCAGCAGATAATGACTAATTATTCGAACATAATAAAAAAGTAGATGCCTGGGGGGATAAATCACGCACAGAACACTGGTTCTATTACCACTGCTTCAAATGAGGACTTGGTTACTTTTTATCGGCTGACATGAAGGCCTTATTTGTGTCACAGGGGGACTTTGCATGGGTGATTTAATCAGTTGACATATATAACTCAAGCAACTTGTTATCAGAGGGAGCACAATACAAGGTAATGGCTGCTCTATCATGACACTGATAAGACTCCTTATACTTTTCAAAACACAACTGCATATTATCTAAAAGGGCACTCCCTACATTTTACTCTCTAGGCCAGACACATGATAACCAAAAGGAGCATGAACCAGTTTCACAACCTCAAGTTAAAGTTTTGGTTTTATTATTGTAACTATGTGTCAATCATTTTATTTAAATCAAATCTGAGCTGTATAGGTATTGTCAAAGATTTTATTTTCACTGACACAAGTTCATCTGATCTGACACGTCCTCTTCATACTCTGTTATTAAAGTTTATAAACTCAATATCAACATATAGTTAATTTAAAGTGAAACGTCTTGCACTGACTTGCCCATGACAGGTCATGTAGAAAACTACGTATTACCCTGAATTAATTTCACTCAACTTTTTGTACAGTGTATGTTTGTGTGTAACAAGGCACAACAGATGGCAGGACTACATTTGCCAATCTCAGGCACAGGCACAGGCACAGGCACAGGCACAGGCACGCGCACGCGCACGCGCACACGCGCGCGCGCGCGCACACACACACACACAAACACACAGATTCCAACATGCACACATACACACACACTTAAAGTTCCAGGGTACATAGAGGGGGTCCTCTCTACGGAGGCCGCCATGTTTTTTACATTAGTCCAGACTGGACAAACTAAACACCTTTTGAGTTTTTATGACAACTGAAGGCTGACACAGGTTCTTTGTCATGTTTGGAAGGAGGGGGTGAGGTGAGGGGTGTTCAGTTGCAACATGCAACTTCAACACTAGATATCACAAAATTCTACACACTGTACCTTTAAGCTCATATTAATAGAAAAGAAAAACAGTACATTAAATTAAATTCCCTATGGTTCAAGTATTTTGAAACTGTTAAGATCTACTCATATTCAAAATGTTCCATTGGTTACACATAATATAAATGGTACAGTAGTATCTGTAAACCCTAATACACTGTACATGTGCAAAAATGCTCTGATGACTAGAATGTGTATGTGCTGTTCATAAACCAAACGCACTGAAGACAGACAAGAGGAATATTCAGTTCAGTAACAAACCTGATCTAATATATTTTATTTTTTCATTTTATTATTAAACTGGTTGTCAAACCATGGACTGGCTTTTCTATAAATATATGTGAATGTGTGTGTGTGTGTGTGTGTGTGTGTGTGTGTGTGTGTGTGTGTGTGTCTGTCCCTCACTGGTAATTTCATAAAGAGTCTAAAGTTTAAAAAAACAAAGCAGAATTGAACTTGAATTTGTTTCTTTGGCCCCTCCTCACAGGCTGATAACTCTTCATCTACCTCCATACACAGACACACAGTAGCCTATACAGTAATATTTTGATGATATAAACTTTATTTTCTGTTAATTTACTTTCTTTTTCACATCATACTTTCATTAAAAATGCCCTTGCTTCCCTATTTCAGGAAAGTGTATTCATATTCAAGTCCCTATATGATCTGCAAGACAACTGTGTTTCTTTGGTCATATTTAAACGAATTTAATCATGAGAAATAGATCAAATAAAACTAATTGTTGTTGCCAGTTTATAAAACGCAATGCTGTTTAACTTTACCTAGATATAAAAGTCTGTACATGATTATTTTGAGGGTCTAACCTTGTTTAAATGTACAAATTACTTGCCTGAAATTGCACTTGAACAATGCCACCTTCTTATTACATAAACAATTTTTAAGTACATTTTATAAAACCCCAAACTATGAATAAACATATAGACAATTAAGATCCCCCTGATTCTTGTGATGTGCTTTTTACATTGATATCTAACATTTTATGCAGGAATTTTACAGAATAATGTAACTGGAGAAAACACAAACTCTATCAAGTTTGAGAGGGAGAGAAGGGGCGCGCTGTGTTGGCGGGGCTCATTCTCCACGGTTCTCATCAAGGCTTTATCAGCTCTGAACTTGTGAAGAGGGCAAACAGAGATACCACTCCCTTCTCGAGTCTCACTGAACCTCACTCATCCGATCCGGGCCATACTGCTTTTACAATGTCTTCTGCAGTGATTGTTTTGCCTTCAGCGGTTCCGGCCAAATCTCCAAAGAAGAGAGCCAAGTCTCAGAGGAAGAAATCGGGCCCCACAGTGTCCGACCTGATACTGAAGGCTTCGTCTGCTTCCACAGAGCGTGGTGGCATGTCCCTGGCAGCCGTGAAAAAGGCTCTGAAGGCCGGAGGATACGATGTGGAGAAGAACAACGCCAGGGTCCTCATGGCCATCAGACGCCTGGTGGCCAACAAATCTTTGGTCCAGATCAAGGGCACCGGGGCCTCAGGCTCCTTCAAGCTGAACAAAAAGGCTCCTGCACTTCCAAAGAAGAGAGTGGTGAGCAAGAAGAAGCCAAAAACAAAGAAGGTCAAAAGGGCGATTGTTAAGAAAGCAGCTGGAGGTGACACACCAGCAGCCAAGAAGTCCCCGAAGAAAAAAAGGAAGGCAAAGAGTCCAAGGAAAGCCAAGAAACCCACTGCAGCTAAGAAGGCCAAGAAGCCAAAGAGTCCCATGAAGGCCAAGAGAAGGGTCGTCAAATCTACCAGGACCAGGGCCGCTGCCAAGAAGTGAACACTCCCCACTGAACACTCTCACAACGCTGTTTAACTGTGAGGACAAAAATTCTGAATTCATTCCAAAAACTTGAGTTTGCTTGCAATATTTTACAGCTTTTCTACAGTAGAAAATATTGAACCTGCTGTTTTTATACACCGTCTTCTTGCCGCTGTCAGCTGTGGTCTGCAATGAACTTAACTGCAATTGTTGAAAAATAATAAACCTAGTTTAATTGAAAGACTGTGTTGTGTGTCCTTCAACAAACTGGATGAAGAATAGACTTCATGTTCCCTGCATCTGTTTCTGGATATGAACAATCTATTCTCAAACTGAGGAAAATAAAACTGAATTAAGCCTTAAATACGTCATAGTTTAGTATTAATATTATATTTACATGCATCACTAAGTCTTATGAATAAGTGATTTGTCATTCAGCACCAGTGAGTTGACAAAAAAGAGAAAACAAAATGAGATAGTGTTTTTTTGTGGTGTTCAAAGAGTCGTTGCTATCTGGCTCGTTGATAATGGCAGCAGACACTGTTTGGACTCGTTCTAGCTTAGAACTTTATTTTCTTGATTCAATGTGCGCGCGGGATATTTTGGAGCGCTTTTACGCACCGTTACGCACGGGTCAAGGCGGGCCAAGGCATCGTGCAGTTACACTAATATCATCCGCAAGCAGCGGCACAAACAGCTGCTAATGTCACGATTAAACTTGAAAACACCAACATTGTAAGAACTTGGCAAGACCCTCTTGAAAAGTAACCTGTATTCAAAAAGTTTGATAAGATGTGGAGTTTGACATGTGCAGAAACAGTGGGTGGGACCAGGCTGATCATATAACAGCTGCCGGTGACTCAGCTATTATGACAACAGACAACAGCGAGGCTGAACCGGGCGTGACGAGCCGGGTTCGTTGAAGTTGCCCTTATCTCCAGCAGTAAAATAAAAACATGCCATGACGGGGGTTCAGAACGACTGGAGCGAAAGAGATGTATAATGATGAATAAAAAACATCATCCTCATCCACGGTCCTACTGAGATTTAGAAATCAGACGAAGTAATTGCAGTAAGTGACACTTTGAGTGAGTTCGGCCTGGAGAGAGAATAGCGATGGGACATTACAGAGTTCATGAGTGTGGTTTCGTGTCGCCATCTACTGACCGGATTCGGAACAGTTTTCACCTTCAGCAAAAAACATCCCAATACACGAAGAGAGCGCGAAGGAACAGTCAAATTAGCAACAGAAAGAGCAAAAGTTAAAAACCCTCTTGGAATAAATTCAGCACGTACAAGCGTGTTAGATGAGAGCCCACATTAAAAGGCAGCAGGGAGGTGATATAAGTGGAGGTGAGAGAGAGAAAGAGAGAGAGAGAGAGAGAGAAAGAGAAGGACAGAGAGATTTGCCGTTTCTCATAAATCTGTAACATACAGATATACATATAATTTTTTAATAGATTTTTACATTTAATTTGAGATAAAAATGAAAATGAGTGTTTTGAAGATGTAAATCTGTTTTAGATTAAATCTAATTTAAATTTGGGATCAAATGTTTGCACTAAAAATGAAAGTAGGAGAACTTTATTAAATAACTATTTATTAAATAACTAACAGATAGAGGAAGTTAAATGTACTTCTCTTAATTTAAAGTCATCTTTGATGTTTGTTTTAATATTTTTAATGGTGATTTTACAGAAGTAATTCAGTCAAAATAAGCCAAGAATCCATTGTTGATGTTCAATGATATTGTACTGTTGGACCCTTGAAACATTGAACAGATGAGCTCGAATATGGAGAAGGTTAAAAACTACAGTGTGTTGTTAAGTGCTGTGTTCCTGTTTTTCAGAGGTGTGATGATGGGAAATAGACACTCAGTGTGGTAAGTGTAAATGCATGAGGTCGCTCTCGGACATATTAACCCAAAATAAACTAGATGAAAATAATGGAGGATTCCCCATAAGATAGCATTTCAGATTGTTCCTAAATTCACCACCCCTGTTGTTGGTAGTCTGTCAAACAAGTTTGGGCCTCTGGTGACTCAGACTGAGAAGTTCTGTGAACATTCCCAATGACGTGAAATCACGTGACGCCCCACAACTATGCAAACATAGCAAAGTAACCAATACATCTTGTTCTCATATCTGCTTTCTGTTCCTTTTTATAGGAGGAAGTCTGAACAATTCTAACCTCACCTTAAAGTCTGTGACATGCAGCATCTATCATCAAGCCAACACTCCTGCACTGTTCTCACCTTCCATTTTTATGCATCTCTTAATTATATTTCTTTTTTATTTCCTTTTCCTTTAAATGTTACATGTTTAACATGTTCTTATATTTATTCAAATCTGTTCTTATTTGAATTACATTTTAACATTTTTTATCTTCATCTATATTGTGTGTAAAGGACTTGTATGAAAGGTGCAATACAATTAACATGTATCATTATAATTTCTATCACAATATTTGCAAAGTAAAAGTAAGATTATCTTTTAAGCTGTAGTCTACTGGGTTAGTGAGTTTGGAGAGTAAATAAAGAAATAGATTATTTTACAACTGTTCACTCAGGCACATCCTAATATCAGAACACAGCACAAACGTGCTCAGACTGAGAGATCATATGTTTCAATCAGTGATTACATATCATAAATCACTGTAACAAACACGGTATCTGCCTTAACATAACATATGCTGCTGTAGGTTTTGTGGTATTCCCTGTAAATATAAAGGCAATAAAGTAAGTAACCTCTGGTACATTTACTTTGGGTTCCACACAAATGAAAGCAAAACCATTTCCTCCTACACCGTCTCTCAAACAGGTTGTTCCTGTTTGTCATATGATAAACTGCATAAGAGAAGGAGGGACCCTGACAGAGAAGATATGCAGTGATCGGACATCTCAGCCTTCATTTCTGACACAGCCGTCATGAAGACAGCAGTGGCCCTCCTGGCTCTCTCTCTCCTTCATGTGTGCTCTCCTGTTCCGGTCAGCCGCCCCGACAACTGGCTCAGTAAATGTCGAGCCTCCAACAATCTCTCCATCACAGCACTGGAGGTGCTGCCAGGTGGAGGCTGGGACAACCTTCGGAACATGGATATGGGCCGAGTCATGAACCTCAGCTACTTCCAGTGCCAGACGACTGAGGACGGGGTCTACCTCATTCCAGACGAGGTGTTTGTCATTCCCCACAAAGAGACGGGTGTGGAGACCACCTCAGAGATAATCAGCTCCTGGCTCGAGCAGAAAAGCTCTACATCCTTCTCCATAAATGCAGAAATATCCTTCCTCACAGTGATGAATGGCAAATTCTCTACTGAGAACCAGAGGATGAAAATCCATCAGGTCAAAGACTCATCAACTACAGCCAGAGTGCAGGTGAGCCAATGGTTTTCTATGGTTTGAATGTAAAAATATAAAAAGCATGAAAAATATTAAAACTGTTTAGTGATCAAGAGTTACTTCCTCATTCCTACATACATACACTCCCTTCTCTCTCCAAGCAGTGCCCAGGGTCAGGGTATAGATAAAGGGCCAACTAGCAGTTCATTGTAGTGGGTATACGCTTATGGACTTTGAAATGTAACTCTGGCTTAACTTTCATGTAACTACATGTAATGTAGAGTGACAGCAATTATAGCCTTTAATGGATGTGCTGTTGGGATGGGTGAAAGGGTGAGGGTGATACATGGGGATGCTATGTGAGATATCAGGAGAGCTGGGGGAGACAATTGCTCTGTTGGCGTTGTTATATTGTTCAACCTTCTGGTCTCCTTGATGCATCATCATCATATTCCTCTTTCTTTCAAAGGTTCGTAACTTCATCTACACTGTTAAGGCTTATCCAGACTTCACTCTGGACACACGCTTTGCTCAACAAGCTAAAGAGATAGCTGATGCAATTGAAAACAACCAAACGAGGGCCGCAGAGTATCTCTCAGAGAAGATGGTGCTGGAGTATGGAACTCATGTTATCACAAGCGTCGATGCTGGGGCTGCTTTGGTGCAGGAAGATTACCTCACTTCTACATATGTGTCGGACAACGTGTCACAGAAACTCTCCGTTAAAGCTCAGGCTGGCTTCAACTTTTTTGACAAACTCAAGTTTGACATAAGCAGTCAAGCCAGCCAACAGAGCTCCACACTCCAAACGTATCAGTCCAACATTCAGTACTCTCTCATTCAAAGCCATGGAGGCGGCATACCTTTCTATCCTGGCATCACTCTGCAGAAGTGGCAGGAAAGTACCAGAAACAACCTGGTTGCTATTGATCGCTCCGGATTTCCCCTACACTTCATTATAAATACTAACACCATTCCTGACCTGCCAAAGCCGACAGTTGGAAAAGTGGCTGATAGTGTGAGTCAAGCCATAGAGCGGTACTACAAGGTCAACACCCGCCCTGGCTGTGTTGACATTAACTCCAAGAACTTTAACTTCCAAGCCAACATTGATGATAGTTCCTGCGAAGGCCCCTCTACAAACCTCAGTTTTGGAGGCATCTACCAAACATGTGATAAACTCACTGCTGATGCAGGTCCCCTTTGTGATTCTCTGGCCCAGAAAAACCTTGGAACAGGAGACTTCTCCTGTCGTTTACCTTACTCTCCGACGTTACTGAGATCAGAAGTGAAACAGCAGGCTTACAATTTACATGAATGCTACAAGCATAGCTATGCCTGTGGATTTTTGTGGTTGAAAACTTGTTATAACTCAGTGTGTCGGGACAACTACTATGTTCGCTCTGCTCGCATCAACACCTACTGGTGCTCTGTGAACGGAAAGGCCCCGGACAACTCGGGGTATCTGTTTGGAGGCATCTACAGTCCCTCTCTCCTGAACCCTCTCACCAAGGCCAAAAGTTGCCCATCAAACTTCATCCCACAAAATTTCCTCTCGGATGGCCAAGTGATCTGTGTGAGTAACGACTATGAAGCCGGAACCAGATTTGCAGTGCCATTCGGAGGCCTCTTCAGCTGTCAATCAACCAACCCACTGGCAGGAGGCCAACGTCACTGCCCTCCCAAGTTCAGTCAGCACCTTGCCACCGTGAGTGATGGCTGTGAAATTCTTTACTGTGTCCAGTCAGGACTGTTCACAGGTGGGCAACTGCTGCCAATCCACCTGCCTCCTTTCACTAAACCTCCGCTCGTCACCATGCAAGCCACCAACACAGTGATGGTGATGACTGACGGAGACAAGAGCTGGGTCAGAGTGGGTCAGACCAAGATGTGGAAACTGGCTAAACCAGAAGAAATCAAGAAGATTGTTCTTCAAATTGATCCAGAATTGAGTCAGATGTCTGGGGGAGGAAAGGCAGCAATAGTCTTTGGGGTGATGGGTATGATGGTGCTGCTGGTCATAGGGGCAGTACTCCTGAAGAAGAGAAGAAGAGGGCTGTCTAGGTTTAGGATGGGGAGGGGCTATGAGGAAATACAAGGAGAGGTTGGTTGTGATGAAGCAGAGACGGAGAGACAGCAAGATGATGCTTGAGGAAAAAAACCGCTTGGTGCCGTTTGTCCCAGACACAAGTTCTTCTCATGAGTCAGATTTTGTTTTTAAGTTGATTGTAACCTCAGAAATCTTTTTCATACGTGCCTTGGGAGAGGGACATTTTGTTCCAGTTCTTCAAGAGTTCCTGGTTTGAATCAACATGACTTTGCATTGCTTATTATTCTTTTTGAAATTCCAATTATTTTACTGATTATGAGAACTGCTGAGAATAGTGAATGCAATAATTCTAATAAACCTTGAAGTTTGTACCTTCTAACTTTAGATATACAATTACATCCCAGACACAAAAACCGGCTTTTAAAATCACAAAATGGTTCACTGGAAGCAGATGTGATTTTCAAAGGCTGTAGTGAACCAATACTGCCCCCATGAGGGCCAGATGCACAATGTCATTTTGTTTTTATCCCACATTTATGAACCTCAACATTTTGAAGTACATTTAAAAAGATAACTGATGGGCCATTTGTAATTATTGTATGAATCATTTTTGTACTGTACTTTTTGCATCATGCAATTAAAATCTATACATTTAGAAATGATGTATGTGTCTATTAAACTCTTCTGTGATTGCATAACTACTTATTAACCATTGAAGTTAAGGAAAGGAAAGTGTCTTAAATGTCCAAATAATATCTTGGTAATTAGTCACTGACACAAAGTTAATGCCTTCTTACAGGTCTGCATGGTGTATATATGTTTTTAAATATGTTATTATAATAGATCATGTAAAGTGTAAAGATTAGTACAAAATGCAGGTAGTGGAAAAAGTGACAGATACATGGCTGTGAAGCAGGGAAACTCCCTCCTAGGTCTTCTTCATGAGGCAGAGGACGGACAAAAGAGTGCTCGCAGCAGGCTTTCAGCAAAGCTCCCTCGGCCGTTATTGCAATTCCAGCAGGACCAAGACTTTAGTCAGTTTGCAGTTCACCAGTGAACTGTGCCATCAATAAGCTGAGTGAAGAGGGAACCTTAAAACCGAGGCAGGCGTTTTTTGCAGAGGAGGAAAAGTTACAGCCTGACAACTCCTAAAAGAAGAAGACAAGACGGACTGAAGGACAATAAAACAAATATAGTCCAAGGTAAGAGTGCCATGTCTTTATTCATAGTTTGCCATTTTTAGAGCATGTCACCTTTTTTTTATGTTGACGCAACATCTGTTGCAGGATTACTGCTTTTTGTAAAAGCAGAGAGGATTCAGAGCTCATCTGCATTTACTGTGTAACGGACATAGTTCATCTGCTATTAAAAGTCCGCTCACTGCAAACCTGTGAAAATGTGTTTTAATTTGAAGGAAAATAAAGCAACTGTCTACGTGCAGTGAGATTCCTGAGACACTCCTTACATGATGCAATCAAGTAGCAACAAATTGGGCTGAGCGATGAGGCCAGTAAGTGCAAAAAGCTGCAGTTCACTGGGTGGCCACTTGAGACTGGCTCCAACGCCAGACTTTAGAGCAGAATTAAACCTGTTTACAGTCTGGTTCAAAAAACGGATTTAGTCTCAATCAGTGAATTTTTTTCTAACTCGCTCGTTTAGATAATATAGAGATTTGACATTGTGAATAATTATCACTTGATTGACACATGACGTCACCATTAGTTCTTTATATACGGTCTATGGTTGCAACATGTAACAAATTGCTGTTTCTACAGTAAAATTCTACAGTAACTTCGTGTTCTGTCATTTTACAAAGTTTATCTGTATGTCGCAATGCATCATGGGTCCAAAACAATTACAGTAGCTGACAGTGTTTTTCCACACTAACACATTGTAAAATTACAGGCATGTATTCTGACTGCAGATGGTGCATGTTACAGTTAAATACTGTTGATATCGATTGTGTTGCACGAGGCGGTTTGAAAGAGAAACTTGACATGAGAGCATGAGAACAGTGGAGCAACAGCCATGTCCATCCACTCCATAATATGTAAGTTGAATGTTAATTATCTTTGTTGAGATGTTGTAATAACATTGTTGAGATCTTAATTAAACCAATGCTATTGTTTACAGTTACTAAAGTGACAAACTTATAATATCCAATTAACATCTATGATCATGCAGGTGAATCAATCATATTTAAAATTAAAAAACTTGGATACTCTGCACTATTTCGTGTAAGAATCTAAAGCACACAGCTTCAGGCTGCTAGCAGTGTTCTGTATACAACCCTGCCAGGACCACTGTTTCTACTGTTGGAGGAAAATCTCTGAAGTAAGCTAAGTTTGTGAGCCTGGCTGCACTCTGCAGAAAAACTAGTCTTCAGGTTCTGGCACCAATTAATTGCACAGCCAAATGTTTTGTTTGTTCCTAATTGTTTGGTGGTTTTATTGACCAACGACCTTAATTACTTTTTTTAGTTTACCCTCTTTTTTGCTCTTCTCAGGCCAGAAATGTATGACTGCAAACAGTGTGCAAAATACACAGAATATGGTCCTTCCAAGCCGGTGCTGGTCAGGAAATCTTCCCACAGAGGACGTGCAGCCTGTGGTTGTGTTGATGTTACTACAGTTTATCACTACTGGTCAGCTCATGCAATCTTGTGAAGTTTTGCTTTTCATATATAATGGGTAAGCGATTATCTTGTCTTGCACAACCTGATGGATTCTGCTCCTCTTATAGAGGAAGTTTCTTTTCGTGTGATTTTGTGATTTCAGATGTTTAGTTGGAATCAATCCAACCAAAGGCCTCAAGACGGCAAAGCTGGTCAGCAAACCAAGTAGGAAGGTGCGTGAAAAGAAGAAAAACTCTGTCAGTCCTCACGTCTCTTCTCTCCTCAAGAGATTAATAGACTTTCAATGGCTTTGAGAGTAAGTCAAACATAAAACATGAGGACTGTTCTCGTCCTCACTATGTGAATGGACATTGTTCTTCTCGTAACATTTGTATTAGTATTTACATCTTTTGCTGATATTGTAAGATTTCCAAACACTAAAAAAAGCTCATCTTTTATAGCTAATTAGTTAAAAGTAAAATTATGCAAAAATGTATGTGACCTTGTTCTTAATACATTTCTTCCTCAGGTCCTGATTTCAGATTGGGCCTTTAAGCCGAGTATGTGGTCAGTTTGAATAATCTTTGACTTTGTTGAAACTTTGATTGATTTGTGGCTGGTGTGATTATCCTTATATATTCCAGTTGATGTCATCTGTTCTGTTAATGTACACATAACCTCTATCTCAGGCTCTGATTTTAAGAGTTGTTCTGAAAATGTTGTGAAACTGTATTGAGTTTCAATAAAAGTTTGATTTTGTTGCAGCTCTGGCTCAGTTTTTATTGAACAGGTGAAGAGAATCTAAAGCAATGTTGATGAATTTTGGATTAACGTTATGCCATTCAAAATACTGCACAATATGCATAATTTGCAAAGCTGCTAATGTAACAAAAAGAAGATTTAACTGTAAAAGAATTGTACAACAACATATTGTATTGTAAGTATTAACAGCCATTTATTGGCAACTGTAGTTGTCAGGTCACTTCTGTAATTTAAATAGAATACAAGGTAATGTTGTAAACTAGATTACAAT